CGACAGCCGCTATTTGTATACAACATAATTGAAATGATCCATCCAGCAAACAATACCATACATTTTCATTTTTTTTTTAAATTACGTAAATTTAGTTCCTAATATTAATACATTTCTCCGTGATCGTATACAATCAACTTGATTTTTAGTCTGAGCAAACAGAATATAACATCCATCTAACGTTTAAACACGCAAATTAACCCAGTGACAGTCATGATAATAATCACAAACAGATAAAGACATTCGCAAACAGAACGTTCCTTGGGGGAAATCTGAAACGACCGTAGTTCAAAATGCAATACAATCGATCTCCTCTTTTACTCAGAACTTAGAAGCCAACATTCGCATATCCGATCAGCTAAGGCGAGACAGTAAAAGAAATTACCAGCCGGCAAACGTACACAGACTAGCCGAGGTCATGTCTCAGATAAAGAAAAGAAACGGGATTCTAATCAGAAAGCCTATGTTTTTCATCGAGCGGCCTGTCGCGATTCCAAGAGGAGCTAAGACTTTGTAGCACAGAGCCCAGACACAGCGATTATCTAGTCTGATAGGGACAAATCTTATTACCCGAGCTGGACGCTGAAATGATCTTCGACTGCGTAAATTTGGATTACTCAATTTCATAGTCATCCATAATTATTCGCCATTTAACAGAAAAAGTAGTTACACATCTGTTGTAAACTGTCTTGTAAAAGTATTAATGCGCGGGAAAGGTTTTCACACATTGTCATTAATACAATCATCATGAAACTCTCGGTCTTTGGCTTAGAAAATCAATAAACTTTTCATCTGCGAGTACTATTATTTTGACAAAATTGTATTATTTGATCTAGTGAAGTGGGGCGTAAACCTCTATTGGCTACTTTCACAACGAAATTGAATTTTAGTACATCAATGACTACTATTTTTTTCAAAGTCATCGTGAATGTGGGGCGCAAATCTCTTTTGGCTACGTTCACCCCGGTCTCCCCCATACGCTCAAAAGAAAAAGAAAAAAAAAAGTGAACGTTAGTACATCACATACACTTGATATGGCACGGATTTGAAACTATCAATACACGGTGTCATATTAGAAAGTACGTGAATGTAACGCTAAGTATTATAGTTTGGTCACGTGAAAAATATGTTCATACAATTCATACTTACCCGGTACATCTTGTGTATGGATGTGGATCGGGACTCCAACACAAATATAACATTGGAAGAGAGGGGATCTCAGCTTTCTTACATATTGTCAAGTGTGAGCCTCAAAGGAGTGGGGTGGGGGGGGGGGGCTAAACCTTCCTTGTGTGCTTAATAATAATAATTTGATAAACTTCAAATAAGTATAATATTAAACATATGATAATAAATAAACAACAATTTCTAGACATGGTAGGGGAGGGACATTTTAAAAATAAATGAGGGGGGGGGGGAATGTAGCTTCGCTTCCTTACAAATTGAGAGTGAAATGGGCCTAAACCCATCCCCGCCTCCCTCTCCTACACATTTTCGTCCTGGGGGAAATAATTGGAGCGGGTGCGAGGGCGGGGGGGGGGGGGGGGCCTTCAAAGTGCCTGATTGTGGGTGTTAATTTGCTGCTCATTTCTGTCATCGAATTTGATAAATTATAGATCACCTGACTGAGGGTGCTCTCATGTTCTCAATCATACTGAAGATGCTCTCATTCGCACTCATGGTGCTCTCATTCATTCTTAGCAATCATTAACAGACAGGTTTACCTCTTGTACCAGCGGCTTCAAAAAAAAAAAAAACCTTAAAAGAGTGATATAAACTGCAGACACCATGTCATTGTATTCCAAACTGTGGTTATCTCTTACAACACACATTCACTCATACACAAACGGAGGTACATCCTTTACAATCAATGACAATACATGGCGGATGAAATTACCAAATAGTTTGCCTAACATACACAACAAGGGTACGATATTAAGAAAACAGCGAATAAGAAACACAAAACAGTCGGTATCGATATTGGTAAGGGATCAAGAGGAAACCCTGATAAAAGCCACAGAGAAAGACAAATATAGCACTTTGAACTTTGTGGACAATGGTGTCTATTCATGAGGCTGTTCTTGCATTTCTTGTCCAATTTATCCCGGGATAAATCTCATATGTATAGTTTATGAGTATCTCTCCTATGGGATGGAATATGGCAAAAATAAATAGGGCGCTTTGTGATCCTGTAGGATGTGTATTGGATAGAAGACTACAGACTGAGAGCTTACACACCGAATGTGTGTCGTCGTCATCCTCAACAACGACATCATCATCACTTTCGTCACGGCTCCAACGATGATCATCGAGATGAAGAAAGCTGCAGAAAGTCCCCTTTCTGACAACCTTTTCGGTGTGGGAACTCGAATCCCATTTCAGGGAGGAAAACCGAACAGATTTACTGAAACACCCCTACACCCTTTTTTTCTAACAAGCATGTCGTAAAAGTCGACTTATTAGGGATTTTTCCTTAAAAGTCGGAGCTGATAGACATCTGATAGACGATGTGAAATGAACGTTCACGTTTCGTTTGTTTTTGTTGTATTGTGAAGCGCTTTACACTACTTTGCGTTTGGTTTTATATCTTTTCCTGAAACAAGGAAACACGAATATGCATACAAATAAGCTGTAAAACGGATGCACACGCATAACTCAAGTCCTGGAACCAGGCAAAATCCAGAAACTGACGAACAAGCAGGAATTTCCACCGCAAAGTACAACCAACGAGCGCAAACGAACAACCAAACGTGATAACCTATAGTGGGGAAATATGAGATTCTCCTGTATCACGTATTTTCATACCTTGTGTATCTTCAATGTCGTCTGACTAATGTAGTGTTGATCTTCTCCTGCCTCATGTTTCCGGAGCCAGACCTCCAATTATTTATCTTTCGAGACGATTGTGACATACTGCATGGCAAATGTCATTAATTTTCCGAGATATTGAATTATAAAAAAAAAAAAAATGTTTTTGCTCTGTGTCCCCACATTGTAGACTGCATCTTTCTTCTTCTTGCACCCCGATATAAAAAAAAAATGCTTCTGTAAATGTTTCAACGGTTTGTTAAATCAATATTCATTATTACTGAAGTCTGGCTCCTTTAGTAATTTTACAATGGGGGTGGCAGTAGAGTAGTCGCAAGGTACTTGCAGGTCGATTAGAAGGTCTTGGATTCGAATCCCCATTAAGGCGAATTTTGTGTAATTTAATCGGTCTCCCAGGTCGACAGAGCCTAAATAGGTATTAGACAATGTCCTGGAAAGTAAAGGCGGCTGGTGCAACGCTGCCCGTATTTATCATTGATATCTGACTGGTCTAAAATGTATGAATCTGGTACCATATACCAGATGCACAAACTGCAAGACAGCTATCCTTCATTTAATATTGTACTATGCCTAATGTCAGAGAGTCACCCATATAACATGAATGCCTCTTTTACAACAAGTTTGCATAGTGTTTTACTGTTCAATTATCAAGTTTGTGAACAGGAAAGGTTAGCTCTCTCTTTCTCTCTTTCTCTCTCTCTCTTTCTCTCTCTCTCTCTCTCTGTGTGTACGTTTTCATACTGCATACTGTTTTCGAGTACGTTTTCATACTGCAGATCCCCCTACTCCCTCCCCTAATGGAGTGGCGGTACTTTGCAGAATTGTTTTTATTTTAGCATTTTCTCAACCGTATTTTCAGCCCCCCCCCCTCGCCATCCACACCATATATGTATACATAATATATACACCACCACACCCACAAACCACATACTCGGTGAAATGCTCGTAATCTGTCAAATCCTTAATATTTACAATCGCATGTCAGTCTGCCACTGTCCTTAATAATCATACAAAAGTGTTTAGTCTCTTTAACTGGGAATTGTCGAGCGATATACATAGATTTGAAGTCAGTTGAAGGCCATGTTTTACCCGATGGATAACTACTGAATATAACATTGTTTAATAAACCACAAAAAGCCATTAATTTCGGGTGTTGGTGCAGCTAACATCAACTGTCATTTACTGACTAGCTTACGTAACAGTCAGATTATCCTTACAATTTGTGCAAATCAAATTTTTCATAAATAGTTTTTATTTTTTCTTTGATTGTGCAGCCTAATTTATGCAGCTTGCAAATATTATTTCCACTGTAATCTATGACTGGCGAGACTGATGAAAACAGTGAACTTCTTTTATTTTCATCTTTTGTCATTTTCTGCTTAATGCTCAAGGTTTCACCGTTTACCAGATGATAGGTAGCCGAATCAGGGCGCGCTGGGTTGTTCGGTATGCAGTGATATTGCGAAACCTTGGACTGTCAGTGGCTTCTTCAATCCGCCTTCCTCTAGGTTCCCACTTTAGTCTTTTCATTTTTATATTGCATGCTCTCGCTGCCGGCATTTTTCTAATCATTCTCACTAGATGATAGACATATGCCAGTCTTTGTTTCTCAATTAATATAACAATGGCTACTGCTGCAGTTAGTCTTCAAATCTTTTCATTTTCCCACCTAATGTAGCCTGATTTAAACTGACTAGAGTCATTAGACTCAGACAGACACATATAGTCTGGACATGTCGTGAGAAGAGATCAGCTTCAAAGCTTGATGAGAGCTCGCAAGCTACATGGAAATTAGTAGGAATATGACAAAGGGATAACTTCCCATAAGCATTGTATTGGTCACCATGATTGAGCGGGGCAAGAAAACTGCCCTGATCGGTGATTCTGGTGATCGTATGAGATGGCAGACACAATGACTAATACTAGCTGGCACGAAATATTCCCAGGATTTCTGAAAGATTAACACTTCTTGACTAAAAGACCCACTATTTGTATGCAAACTGAACAAATTCCCTAAGTCTAGTGCAACCGTTTAAAATTGTTGTGGAACAACTTACAGCTTCGAAAGAACCTGTTGTACATGTGAGTGTGTAAAACATCAGATAACATTCTTATCTTGAAGATCGTAATATTTATAAATATAAGAAAACGTAGACATAAAGACAAATTACCTGTCTAGTACCCAGGTTCTGCACGGTGCAGGGAAGGATTGCTAAATCACCTTGGTGAACTTCGATGTTTGTATCACTTGGCATAAAACTGGGATCTGGAATGAAAGGACGAGGTCCATCAGGTACGAACTCCGGCAGTCTGCTAGTAGTGTCCCTAGGTGGTGGTGGGTAGACTTTCCCACTGTGCCGCTCCAAGAGCTCGTGAAGTGAAATATTTTTGTTACTGGGACCTTTCATGTGAGACCGAGAACTGTTGCGAGGGGCGTGTTTGTCCGGTTGTCGTTGTAATTCTGTGGATGTAATAAACGGAAAATATATTTAAACTTGTACAGGCTGGTGGTGGTAGCAAGGCTATTTTTTCTGGTGGTATGCACTAGTACTCAGTACATGCACCTTTTTTCCTGTAATGGACACTTTGTGTTGAGTCCAGCACTTTTTTTTAGACACTGTGTTGTGATACTGGCACCTTTTTTTTTTTCTAGGAAGAAAGCCTGGAGCAGTAATACATGTGTTGGTAGTAATAGTAGTAGTAGTAGTAGCAGCAGCAGCAGTAATAATAATAATAACAATAATAATAATAATAGTAGTAGTAGTAGTAGTAGTAGCAGTAGAATAGTAGTAATAGTAGAAGTAGCAGTACGTAGTAGTAGTAGTAGTAGTAGTAGTAGTAGTAGTAGCAGCAGCAGCAGCAGCAGCAGCAGCAGCAATAATCAGGTCAATAGTTTTTCAGTTGCGGTTCTAACTTAACGGCAGGAGGATCACCCGATAGTTGTTTCATTCTTGTGTCAGTGAAAAACCACTCACAATGCATGTGAAAAGATAAATATGTCGCAGTCCCGGTAAAATGCAAAGGCTAACACGCGCAATAAATGCACGAGGCAGCAGCCAGTGCAAAGACCAATAGCCTGTTATTAGAGCTGATGGAAATACGTGTCATACAAAGCCAGCAGGCATACATGCATTAGTGCGTAGGCAACTAGCAGCAACAGGATCATTAGTAGCCCAAAGAAAAGAAAAAGCACTTCACTCGAAATCAACAGTTCACAGTGTCGCACCATGCACTCAGTTCAGGTTAAGGCTACAATATCGTAAAAGTAGCGAGGTGGCAGTAATACAAGTAGTTGTAGTTGTAATATTGGTAGTGCAGTAGTGGTTGCATTACTAGTAGCCGTAGCAATAGCAGCAGTATTTGCAGCAGCAATTGCAGTAGTAATTGCAGCAGCAATATTAGTAGTAATTGCAGTAGCAATAGCAGTAGTAATTGCAGCAGCAATAGCAGTAGTAATTGCAGTAGCAATAGCAGTAGTAATTGCAGCAGCAATAGCAGTAGTAATTGCAGTAGCAATAGCAGTAGTAATTGCAGCAGCAATAGCAGTAGTAATTGCATAAGCAATAGCAGTAGTAATTGCAGCAGCAATAGCAGTAGTAATTGCAGTAGCAATAGCAGTTGAGGTAATCGAAACAGTAGGATAATTATAATACTAACACAGTAGGGTAGATTAAAAAAAAGATGTGGTAGCAGAATTTGTATTAATAGCAATATTAGATACAGCAGGAGTAAGAATTTTTGTTGAAACTGTTCGTAGCGATTTTTGCATATCCACATCCTACAGTCTTTGGCGCCCGACTCGCTAGCGCAGTTGGTTAAACCTGACTGCGCGGCGACTGGGTGACGAACTCCTTGTGGTCCAAGGTCTCCCCTGGGGGTAGGCAGAAAAGCCACATTTCTCCCAGATTTACGGTATCTGTCAAGGAATCGGGGCCGAAGGGTTGTGATATCCATAGTACCGAGCCCAAGGGTTAACAAATCATGGTTTCTGGATACTTGAAAAAAAAAAAAATTGTTTTTTGCTATTGTGATGAAAGTACGTCTGCTGCATAAATACACCTCATGAGGAATAGGGATCTCTTGCGTTCAAGCAAGGCCATGGCATGACAGACAAAGGATTATGGTTTCTTTGTGTGAATATCTTCTTATGTGAACGGTAACAAGTTGTGCTGTGGTTCACAACTGGTCTGTGATATCCCTATCCCACCCCCCTTGCCTTTTTTTTTCATGCATACATTTTTCAAGACAACACTTAATTAGTCAGTCTTTATGTAGAAGTTTGTTAAATGGCAGTGTGTTTATTTCACCACTACCCCACTCCCAGCCTCAATATGGTTTAGGAGTCCACATAGAAATTAACATATGTAAACTATGCGTAATAAGAACAAAATGTGAACCAACACTTGAGGTAGGGGGAGACTCGGAAAGAAAATATGAAAACAGCCTGGAATGACGGCAGGGATGGGGTATGAATTAACAATGATTGACAGTACAAGACATGTTGACAAACGTCACAGAGCATAGCATTTTAGAAGAAGGTCCAACATTACTGACAGTGATGAGAAAAGTGGCGAGATGAATATCTAGGACAACAAACTCAATGAAATATATCCGATATCTACGAGCTGGCCATCGGCAGTTGAGATATGCCCTAAATAAAATCGACACCATGTTGTTTTGCAGCTAGTCTTGTTGGAAAAAAAAAAAGATCTGCTGGAAATGGAGAAGAAACAACCCACTGATCTTTTTCCCCTTTAAAAATCAGTGTTTATCACAAAATGTGTTCTGTTAGAATGTGATGTGGAAAAGCATGACTGTCACTGCAACATAGAGATAGATAGATAGATAGATAGATAGATAGACAGACAGACAGACAGACAGACAGACAGACAGACAGACAGACAGACAGACAGACAGACAGACAGACAGACAGACAGACAGACAGACAGACAGACAGACAGACAGACAGACAGACAGACAGACAGACAGACAGACAGACAGACAGACAGACAGACAGACAGACAGACAGACAGACAGACAGACAGACAGACAGACAGACAGACAGACAGACAGACAGACAGACAGACAGACAGACAGACAGACAGACAGACAGACAGACAGACAGACAGACAGACAGACAGACAGACAGACAGACAGACAGACAGACAGACAGACAGACAGACAGACAGACAGACAGACAGACAGACAGACAGACAGACAGACAGACAGACAGACAGACAGACAGACAGACAGACAGACAGACAGACAGATAGATAGATAGGTAGGTAGGTAGGTAGGTAGGTAGGTAGGTAGGTAGGTAGGTAGGTAGGTAGGTAGGTAGGTAGGTAGGTAGGTAGATAGATAGATAGATAGATAGATAGATAGATAGATAGATAGATAGATAGATAGATAGATAGATAGATAGATAGATAGATAGATAGATAGATAGATAGATAGATAGATAGATAGATAGATAGATAGATATATAGATAGATAGATAGATAGATAGATAGATAGATAGATAGATAGATAGATAGATAGATAGATAGATAGATAGATAGATAGATAAATTTTATATTAGATATATAGAGATATAGAGAGATACAGAGAGAGCTGCACAGAGAGAGAGAGAGAGAGAGAGAGAGAGGGAAGAGAGAGAGAGAGAGAGATAGATCTGAGTAGAACCAGATAGCCGGTATACACTCCAGGGAACCCTATAATACAGACATAAAGTTAACGCCTGTGCACCAAGGCGCCCGATCAGAGAGGGGTGTCTGGAACTTTACGATTTTAGATGGCGTTACTTTCGCAGATCACAGATGTGTTCGAGGGCGGTGTAAATGTAATTATAAGAAGTTAGCAAGAGGTGGTCAATGCAACATAAATACACACGGACTTTTTTTTTTTACGTCGCAGAAAAATTTAGTAAAGACCTCTTGTAAATACACGGTGAGATGCTTGGCAGAGGATGAGTTTATTGTTATATCGAAAAACACACCATGGTCTTGTAATCATTTCTCAAAAGACAGATTCCAGTGCTGAGATCATTTCACGGACACACCATATGCAGCTGAAGCTATTTCAAAGAGTGGCCATGGTATTGGTGGCTAGACGTCAGCCTGCGGATGGAAAGGTCGTGGGTTCGCGTCATGACAGTGAAACACTTTTTTTTGGGAAAATGACTGAACTCCCAGGTCGACCGAGCCTTAACTGGGTACCAGGTGTTTTCGTGGGAAGTAAAGGCGGCCGGTGTAATGCTGACCGCATCACCCACCAAGTGCCGATTGGTCTATACAAAATAGGTCTAGCCCTTTATTTCCACTAAGCCTAAAGGTGTGGAGAAGGGACCTTTACTTTACTTACTTACTATTTCACAGAACACATATTCCATTGGTGGGATAATTTCACATAAAGCAGACCGATTCTATTGCAGGGAAAGAGATTCTAGTGCTGGGATCAAATCACACACACGCGCGGTTATTTCACAGAACACAGATTTCAGTATTGGGGACGATTTTGCCTAAAACCGACAGATTCTAGTGTTGGGACCATTTTTCAGAACACAGTTTCTTGTATTAGGATCATTTCACAGGGTATAGATTCTAGAGTTGGTATAGTTTCCCACAACACATATGCTCATTTCAAAAATGCGAATTAGAAAGTTAATTTAATTGAAGACAATGGAGTAATGTGAACATTCAATAGAAAATACATTTTTAAGTATTTATCTGAATTTACAGAACACAGATTCAAATGTTTCCCCTCCCCCAACCTGCCTTTTTTTTAGCGATTAAAATGTTGCGTCTTTTGTATATAAAGTGAAATAGGAAAATAACAATGCATTCCATACCATTTTCCTGATTCAAAAAATTCCTGAATATTCATTGAGTATGCACCAGCGCCATCGGTTTTTCGAGGCAGGAAACTGAAGTATATCTACGGGATATTGGTTGCTGCTCATAACTGAATATGCTGAATCTGTATAAATGAAATGAAGTGTGGCGCGCTTCCTGGTGATAATGGGAAGTAACTGGTGGGTATTTGAGTTTTAGTCTTATATGTCGAGATCAATCAGTACGCAGTGGAAGATTTTGTGACGACCGAAGGTGCTGTACATTGTGTATCCTAACTCAGTCATCCAATGCAGCAGCATGTCCTAAGTACCTTTACTGATGATTAAAAACAATAGATATAAAATAATAAACAACTACATATGATTAACAAGAAAACTTCTATACGTGGCTAAGGGGTGCTTAGTTTGCTTACAAGTTTTATAAGAAAGGAGTGAACACTTTCCAACACCCACACCCCACCCCACCCCCAATATTTAACCAAGTGGGAGTGGCCTCAAGAGGCCAGGCCTACATATTCTGGTGCACCGGCCGCAAAAAAAAAAAAAAAAAAAACTAGGGTAATTCGTTACTATGTTGTGTTATGTCATATTTGGGCCCGCAATATATC